TTTGTTCTTATGAAAACTTTCTGGGGAAAGCGATTGAAAACGATTAGAAAAGATTTTCTGCTAGAAATACTCAAAACTAAGAAATTTTACTTATAAATGGGGGTACCTTGAGTTTAACTTATTATGGTTGAATGGATGGTGAAATTGCCGGTTTTTAGACTACAATAGTATATCAAATTTCAATTGCCCATATAAATAGTTGTGTAACAGTCATTTCGGGACAATCATGTGATTTTGAGAAAATCACGATTTAAATCGTCACATGATTAATTCTAATACTAATATAGTAACAACGAAGAAAATTTTTAAATTGACACACTTTTTATTAGTATATTTTACAAACTAAAAATATTTTTAGAAAGATAAAACTTACAAGCAAACTATTATTATAAAATCTCAAAATCTGATTGGCTGGCCCATTGCCCCCTTTTGCAGTGGGCCCCATATGCTGTTTTTGAACAACTTTATTAACTTTTTAACGTTAACTAAAGCAATACAATTATATTAAAATAAACAGATAAATTTTTATCTATAATGTGTACATTAATTCGAGGCAATAAAGTTATTATTTTAAAACAAAATGTGAAATATTTCACCGGTCCATATATAACATATATAAATTCTTGTATACATGTTTATTTATCATAATTTTCTTAATCCCCCATACATAATATCTTAGAATTTGTTTTTTTCATAATCCCCCATCGCTTAAGTATTTGTTAATTTACGTTTATTTAAGCTAAGGCAAAAATTATGTATTTAATAGATATAAAATTTTAATATTAATTAAGCATTTAATTATATCAAATATAAGTACTTACTTACTATATATCATCCAGTCTAAAGGGTGAAATAGCTTGGAGGCATCTGATTCAAATACATGAGAGTGATATCGTCTACATTTAAGGTGGCATAAATAAATTCGTCTTGAGGAGGACCAACTAAAGCCGGAGGTGGAGGAATGGGGATCGGAGGTTCTGGTTTATGCGGTTGAACCATTTTCTTCATATTATCATCAAAAATTATCTGGTAGTCTTTTGTTTTTGGCTTTCTCCTTTGCAAAAGTTCATCTATTTGTTTTGAAACTTTTGCATATGCCCTTTTAACCCTTGGTTTCTCATTTTTCCAAGCTTGACCAGCACATTTCGATATGTCTGTCATTTTGACCTTTAGACCATTTTCTATTGCACGTTTTGTAAACTCCCTCCTGTACAAAAAGAAGGCGTTCATACTTTTTCCGTCCTTAGAATTGTTTGGTACAAGCTCTTCTATATCGAGCTTTAAAATTTCGGATGTACTCATCATTTGGAAATATGTCATTTTTAGTTAAAAAAAAGCTTAATTGTTGATGGGATGTTTTGAAAAATTCAGATTTTTCGAAATTGGAACAGACTAAAATATCCGTCAAAAAAAGTACACCCAAGATGTATCTCTTTATATAAAGATTTTTCTTGATAACGGAATGATTCGCTTGAGATCCACAATTAGCATCATTGTGTAATTGTGTAATTGTGTAATAACTAATATAGCAAAATAGCAAAATAGCTTGGCTCAGATGGGCACTAAACTTAAAACAAAAACGCGCAGTAAAATTTATGTATCATACACCTGAAAAGAGTGAACAAGTTTGATTTATAATCAGACGCGTTCCAAGTAAGTAAACTCTGGTACTGGGTAATGTATGACGCGTTTCTTTATTCGTTGATGTATCAAACTCAGGTTTGCTGTGAAACTAAAAGAAATAAATTTATTACATAAATAAATCTTATATCATATAATACATAAAAAGTACCCACACATCCTAGCTCGGAAAATTGCCAATAAAATCTTCGGAGGGTATATTCTAAAAAATGTATAGTGTCCAAAGTATTCAATTTCTGTGGGCACTCATGATACAGTCTTTTGCGCTCTCAAAGTAAGCAAATTTCATATACGCAAATGTTATATAGAATTTACTTAAGATGTTTATTAAAAATCCTACAATCATCTTCCTTATCCAGATTCCAATTTTCATTTTAAAACCTGTTCTGAATGCTTTATATAGAATATAAAGAATAATTGGAATATAATAAGTTGGAAGAAGTTATCTATCCGTAGAAATGTTACGCCAATCATTATTTTGTGATCTTCACATGACATCGATACTGCAAAAATAAATTCCGTGTGCAATTGTTTTCTTTAGTAACAAAACAAAACCATTATAAAAAACCTATTAAATTGATTTAGAAACCAATTCCGATTTCATTGTTTCTAATTTTCTTTCATGTTAGCTTGATCTGGAATCTAAAGAAATGTTGGGACTTTAAAATCAATTATTTAATATACGCATGCACACATGCAGTCTCAATAAAGCAGTTCGGTGGCTTTTCTTGGGAGATCCCTAAAACCGGCTAGTTTTTAAGTTGGTTCTACAGCAATTGATTACTACAGTATATAATTTGATTTATAAAATACAGTCACGTGATGGACACACTATCGGATGCACTTATTTGCAAACCGGGAAATCAGCCAATCGGAGAGCGTGTTTATCCCGAATCAGTCGAATCAGTGTGACACAACGAAATGAAACGATTGTTTAAACCTGCCTTGATACTTTATTTATTAAAAATGACGGGAATGAAATTATATATGTAAGGATTATTTATTCCTATCACTATGGCTTCTCGTTCTAATTTATTGGTCCTAAATTTTTAATTTTATGCATTTAGCGTTAGTTGTTACATTTCCTTTTGGAAACTACATATTCCAACGAATGATACAAACCAGGTACTATTACACAAAGATTTTATTGGTCTGAAAAAGTACTATTACACAAAGATTTTAAATTATTTCAATATAATTTTCGGGCCTACAACAATTTTTATAATTAACGTTAATGTCGCCTAAGAGATTACTTATCGAAAGTATAATTCTATATAATCGCTGGAGATCGCGAGAGATCTCACTTCCCATTAACTTTGTTAGGAGCGACTTGAATAAAATTAGATATCACAGCACATTATATTACTTTACTTTTTAATACAAAATAAATAATGACAATTAGGTTTTTTTTTAGGTGGAAGTTCAAACTACACGTAATCACGTATAAAATGCGACAGGACAATGACAACATTAATCTGTAGCGATAAAGTTAATCATTTTACAAAAGAATTTTATTAGGGTCAGGTTAGGATTAATGATTTGTGTAAGTTAACAAAAATTAACTATTCGAAAAACTAGACATAGCACTATTATTTAGTCAACTTTGGACAGTGTTGGGCTATGATAATGTCATGAAGTCATTTAATTACAACAATATTGTGACATACATTTTGGCATATTATCATTAGGGATGGGTCATCGCGCAGCCCGTCTGGCTGCGCAGAATTTTTGAGAGACTAAAGGCCTGCACAGGCCAGGCCGAAATTGGAAGATTTTAAAACCCTCACAAAATTGCAGGTCTAATATGTCATAAACATAGTAAAATGATAAATTTTATTTTGCGGGCCGGCAAAGTACAAATTTTTAGGCCTGTGCAAACTCCTAACTTCAAGACTAACTCCTTTTAATTTTAGCTAATCAAGTTTTCTCTGATCGACCAATCAAAACAAGTTTCAAAAATGCTCCGAAGTTTCGGGTCGGATTTCCGGAATTAAGCAATACCACCCGACGAATCTTATTTCTGCAAGTGATACAAATCACGTGCCAATATTAGCATGCGAAATTTGGACCAGCGTTAGTGTTAGGATTAAGGTTGTAATAACGATAAGGAACGTAAGATTTGGACAAAAATTTTATATTAGAACGTAAAAGGTAATTTCCTAGGCAAAATTTTATTTCACGTTACGCAAATTTCCCTTTTTGGGTTTGTGTCACTTGAAAAGTACGCCGTATACTTGTTGCCCAAACTATTATTATAATTTGTTTCACACCCAAAATCCCAAATTCTGGCAAAATTAATATCTCAAAAACTTTATTAATAATCTTTATTTAAAAAATGATATAATATATTTGCAAAAATATCAAGATTATTTTTTTTGGATTTAATTTTTTGTAAAAGTCAATTGTATTCTTGGATTTGGGATTTGTCCGAGTTTTGCCAACAAGAATATGTACGCCCACTTGATTACGTCTATTATAGCAAATGCACGCCTGAAGTGTGTCAGGTTTGTGGTGAGACAATATTATTTTAAAGTTCATTGATGTTAAGGTTAGCATTTATCGTTATATTTGGTTAGGAAATAACGGCAATATCATTAGATCGTTCAAGAAAACTTCTACTAAAGTTCTTATGCATTTTTTTGAGAAATAAGCGAAACGAACGTCTGCTTTGAATTTTCCTGTCGTCTCATGTTACACTTGATCTTGAAATCTGACTCGTAGTTCAGAAAATCTGCGCAACAAACCTTGAACACATTTTACTGGCATTGTCATTATTGTTAAACGGTTTGTTCATTGGTAATTGTCGCATCCTTTTATTATATTATTTGTTACGTGACGTGATAAATGGCGCAATAAAAGAGTGGACAATTACTAATGAACAAACCGTTTGACAACAAAGCGGCATCCATACATAGCGAAAATGTTTCAGTATTGATTTTTAACATGAAGTCGAAAATATTTCAGCAATTTAATAATGGCAATAGTTTCTACGCTATGGCTCATATAAATTTAGGGTTAGGACGTTATGTTCGGAATACAGTTGGGCTGATCCTACAGCGACCGTCGATGTTACACCACTGATCCTTCACCCGGTGTGCGCCATATAAAAAAACTATTTTACAATACCAGATCATTCCGACAGTACATGTTATGATTATAATCCCACACCATTTTTATTATTAAAAATGGTGTGGGATTATAATCATAACATGCACTGTCGGAATGATCTGGTATTGTAAAATAGTTTTTTTATATGGCGCACACCGGGTGAAGGATCAGTCGTGTAACATCGACGGTCGCTCCTGTAGGCTGATCCGGAATAGTCAAAATTTCGCACAAATACGTGCGTGCTTTGTACCCCACATGAAATTTTGATGTGATAATCTAAAAAATATTAAGGCAAGAGGGCTTTATAAATTTGGCATAATCGATATTTGATGAATGAGATCAAGTGCATTGTGCTTACATCTGCTACAATGCCCGAAACAATAGCGATAAACAAGAAATGGAATTTTTATAAAGGACCTAACGGAGTTTTCTTCATATAGTAGTCTCAATCAATAACCATGAATTTCAACAATCACAGGAGGGCTTTCGCATGATTGGCTATTTTATATTATTTATACAGTTTAAGTTGCCTTTTTTTTTTTAAAAAAAAAAACTGCATATTAAAATGATGCATATAGAAAGTTTTATCGGAGTTACTGGACTCTACTGTAGAAAGTATTTTTAGCTTAGAATGTATTCTTAGCTTTCACCTTTTTAATGGGAAAGAGGAGTTGTTTCTTTTTGGTTAATTGCATTAATTTTACCCTTATTGTCTTCATAAACCTTAGGAAGTGCTGAACACTTTTAATGTCCAAGACCTTTTTATCATCTTCAACGTCCAAGAATTAAGAATGTAAATTGATCTGATCTGGATCACAAGATCAAGGATTAATGGTCTAGTCTAACCCGAATTAGAATTATTTCTATACTTCAATTGCAGATCTCAATTTATAAACCGGACCAAAGATTGGATCATAGACCATTTTAATATATATTGTTATCGTTATTGTAAATTTTGACGTTAGTATTTCTTATTTGATGTAATGTATTCAAACCTTTTCCATTGGCAACACTGAGCACAGGAATAATTTTATCTATTTCTGACACCATGTTTTTGTTCATGTTATATCACCACTTAAACCAATAAATGTCGAGGAAATGATTGTAGGGAATGATTGATCTACTCGGGTACAGTCACTAGAATAGCACACCATTGACAGTAACTGATCATAGTAAATTTCTAAGATCAGTTCCAGGTTTTAGTTTAGCAGTACCAAAACTTTGTAAGGATTTTTTTTATTCAATTTTCAACTATTCATAGTCTGAACTAATTCTAGTATTCTGAGTTATCGTATGATGTTATATAGTGAAAAACTGTAGCAGATAATAGTAAATCAAAAGTACAGTTACAATTTTTCACTCTGCAACACTTATATACAATCAGATCGATATTCGTAACTATACGATCAAACTTTGTATTTTATGATAGCTTAATAAAAATAATGTGACTATAGCAAGGTCGTGACTACGTATATCAAGAATGAATGCGGTAAGATCTGACAGTGTATATATATATATATTATAAGTTTATTGGATTTGTATAAGGTAATATGTGCACACGGACTTATGCT